ATATATATATACTGATCACAAAAGAGAAAGTCGCAGTAATTGATTTCTAGACACTTGGTTCTATTGTGATGGGGATAGCATGCAGGACCGCCTTGGGAATTTAAGTACATCGTGGATCCGTGATCAGTAAATAGGGATTTCGGGAGACGAGGATTCCGAAGTTTTCAGCCGCCGGCGGATGATGAGATAAAATCGTCTGCTACTATGAACTCATCACACTCGCTGGAGCTGTAACATTCCATTGACGCACACGTGTAATTACGAACGCAGAATCCGTGTTGAGTAGAAAAAGGAGTGCCGACGGTTCTACTAATACTCACACGACGATACTTAGTTGAACGCCGATAAGCGCGCCATCATTTATATAGGAAATCTGTCTCGTCTGCCTCCGCCGCATTCTACCGGTCGATTCACACCCCACATTGTAATCTGCCGCTAGCCGGATGCAAAATATATAGAGCCGAGCCTTACGCGGACGACAGGAAGTAAACAAAAAGTCCTACAGTGCTATATGCGTGTTATTTCTGGCACCGTGCATTACCGAAATGGCAATACCGAGCAGATCTGTGAGTTACGACATAGGCCTACTTTTCCTGCGATTAATCTTTGCCGGAAAGCTGCCTTTAAGCAACGTATCTGCGAGTGTATTTTACTAAGAAAGTAATATACTAGATCGTCTATCTAGACATTTCTTGCCATCGCTTTCCTTCTTTTCTTGTCTTTTTTTGTCATTTCTTGCCTTCGATTTCCACCATCGCTTGTGCGTGTCACTTCTAATGCTGCTTTTAAGCGTTAAAGCTCGGGTGCGTTTTTTTTTGTAAGTGCCCATTTTTCTCTTCACGAACTTTGTTAAATTTGTTGATTAAATCTCATAAACACTGGCAGACCGGAAAATGAACTCATTAACTCATTCTCTACCACGCGCTGATCCATCCGAAAAAAAAACATTTTGCCATAAAATCTTTTTCGAAGTGGGTTTTCCGCATCGCATCTTACGATAACGTTGCGGGAGGAGAAAACTCTGTTCTAATTGGATGCTTCTCTTGGGAGCATTAATATCTAAAAACTGGCTCACCTTCCCGAGTCATCCACCGATAAAATATAGCGGCGCTATAATTCTATAGATCGCGTAATCTGTTATCGTTACCGTGTCTCCCGTGCTGTAATATATTCATTTATTTCGTCATAAATTACGTTAAAACGACTATCCATCTACTTCGGCTACCTATTCTAATGGCACCATAGAGTAGTCCTCGTGTAATATATCTATCTATCTATATATATATATATATATATATG